CCCCCCCCAACGCCCTGCACCCCTTCCCACCCGCAGTTCAGCGGCTCTGGGGAGTCCAGGGCAGCTGGCTCTGCGAGTGCCTGCCCGACGCCCGCCGGTGCCTGTGCGCGCGCCCCTTCCTGCGCCCGCTGGTTCCTGCGCCCTGTTCTCCCAAGCTCCCTACTGCGTCCAGCTCCCACTCGCGTCCCTGCCCCTCTCCTGAGGCCCCCACTCTCTCCTGCGCTCCGATCCCTTCTGTGCCCTTTCTGCCTCCTGCGTTCGGCTCCCTCCTGCGCCCCCCGCTCCCCTGGCATCCCCCCAGTGCCCAGATTTCCTGCGGAGCGGAGCGAGCGCTCCCTTTAGCGGGGAGGGAACCTCGGTGTTCTCCCAGCGCCAGGACAGCTTGGACAGTCTGTCCGCTGGGGCTGGAGGAGTTTGGCTAAGCGATTGTTTCTCGGATTGGGCAGCCTAGCAGAGTGTGTGTAAAACCCTTTCCTGGTCAAGGAGGGGACCCAGCCAGCCTGCGTCCTGCCAGCTCAGGGGATCGGAAGCGGGTGTCAGTGGTTAGAGGAAACTTTCCAGCAGCGCGCCTTGCTAAAAGAGCAAACAACGCATCTGTCAGGAACGCTCTCGGGGCGCTATTCTTGCAAGGAGTTTCTGTTGTACCGGTGCAGTAGGTGCAGAAAGGAAGCTAAGGTTGGTGCATCTGACAGCTAGTGCTGAGGACCAGTTGGACACTCCCCAGTCTCAGCTAATGAATATGTGAGTATATTGCAACAATGTGTGTGGATACTATAAAGAGGGAGGCTTAAAGAAACAAATGTTTAGACATAGAGTAGTAAGTGACACTGCGGTGAAGAAAGAACACATTTAATTACGTTTCAGACTTTTCCCATTCAGTAATAACACCTGCATTTTGTGTTTTTTTTACTGACATAGTTTTATAATTTGAGCTGGGTCAATACAAACAGAAAAGTACTGTTAGTTATGGTTGATGTAATGAACTGAGATTTCAGATTTGTTGGTTGGCTTGGTTTTTCTCCTTTGTCCAAGTTCCCAGATTTTCAAAACTCTAGGATTAGTTTTGGAGGGATGAGAGAAGAAAATACGTAAATACTCAAGAGGATTAAAATCGGATAGCAGTTAAAATTATCTCAGTGGTTTTCTGAATTGGCAAATGAATCAGTTTGAAATTAGTGAGTTGTGTGCCCAGCTGTCTGTGGATAATATGTGGGGACAAACAGACAGGATAGCCACCTACTGGACTGCAAGCCCCCTCTCAAATTAAGGTCTTCAGCTCAGCCTTGAAAATAAAAAGCCTTTCATTGAATCCTTCAGAAGTAAACAGCTTCTCATTACCCATTTAAGGGTGCATGAAAATGTTATATAATGCTCACGCATCTTTCTAGCATTTGGACCAAACTCATTCTTACCTTGCAGAGAGATTGACTTCCACAGCAACCCAAGTCAAGAGTAAAAGCAATGTTTATTCAGTTTATCAAGTCAAGCAGTTTTAACCACCTTCTCTTATGTAAATCTGAACATATACATTTGTTTTAGGCCCAGAGTTGATAATCAGAGTGTTGGGGGTGGTGGTGATTTATCTATTTATTCGCCCCTGCCCTAGGACTTGTCAGCCTATTTCTGCCAAACTGGAGAGGTTGAGGAAGGGGGAGGAAGAAAGAGGGAAGAAGAAGTTGTACCCTAAGTTAAATGTAACCTCTGGAGAGCCTTAGTGACCCAAGTCACTGCCAACCTGTCTCCCCCTCTGGCTTCTTTCTGTACCCCCTAACCCCCCACCCGCCCTCAAGGGGTAGTCTCAAAATAGCCAAGGGATTGGAAAGAGTTGAATTTGACACCTCCCAGGAAAGGGGTTCTGAGTGCTGGGCTAGGGGTGAGGTATAGGGAATGTGGAGAGGGGGCTCTGTATTGGTGCCATCTTTCTGTCAAGTGGTGTTATTGGAATAGTGTGTGCCAAGCTCAAGTGCCCCTGAAGGAGGAAGGGACTGCATTTCTGTCAGCAATAAGGCCAGAACTTGGTTGTAGAGGTTCAGCGCAGAAGCCCAGATGCCAACACCTTTACTGTGTCTATAAAGATGTATGTATTTGTATACATTATGTATCCATACATGGATTTGTATACATATGTGTAAACATGCCATGTATAAAGAATTGTCGAAAAACTCCCCTGAAACTTACCCCCCTGCTCATTCAAGCTTCTCTGAATTTCTGGATAAAAAATTCATTAAATCATAAATATTCAAAACCAGAAGGTTATTTTAATAGGAGTTCCACTAGAGGGCTGCAGGCATAAAGGGATTCCAGAATTCTTGGGGCTTTCCTTCAGTCGTGTTGATGGAAAAGTTTGGAATAGTCCAGGTTCAACTAGAGTTAGCTTTCTTTGAAAAGAAAATGTTCTCAGATCTCCTTTAATTCCTACATTTGTGGCACTCTTTTTTTTTTTGGCTATTTTTGAGCTAACACTTTTAGTTCTTAGATAAGGATACAAGATCAAGAAGTAAAGGTCTGATACATCCATTTATACAGGTATTACAGGTTGCAAGTTCAAAATGAATAATTTCTCCATTCCCCACTCACAACCATTAAAATGAATCACTTCTTAGGAACCCATGGATTTGACAGCATTTTAGAAAATGATGGAAAGCTCCAACAATAAATGCTAATCAGCACCCCTGAGAGCTAGTGGGCTTCTTCCTCAATATTTCCTGCCCCCACCTCTACCCTTCCCATCCCACTATCATCATTTCACACCTGAACTTGGCATGTGTTCTTCTTGATCTCCAAGTGTCTAATCCTCCCTGCTCCATTTAATTTGGCATACCATACCAAAGTCATATTTCTAAAATGCTGCTTTGACCAAGATGCTTTTCTGTTCAAAAACCTTAACTCCTCAATTTGGCATTCAGAGACTTCCACAGTCCAGTTCCAAATAGTCTTATAGCCTTTCCAGCACTACCTTGGACTAGAACTTTCCATGTCACTCTAACCTACAGTTCTGTATTTCCCTCTCCCCTGTATATCTAATCTCTATCTTGTCTCCCCCCCCCTCACACACACACACACACACACACACACGTACTTTCATTGGGTTCCTCCCATCAAGAACCTCCTCCTCCGTCTCTGCCTCAGTGGATTCAGCCTTCACGATCTGGCTACCTTTTTTATTTTACAGTTATTTCTGCCCACTCAGTTCTGGAAATGATTTCTTCTTTCGCTACCTGCAGTAGTTACTCTGGTAATTGCATTTCACATGTCAACAATATTTTGTCTTTTGACATCTGTCATATTATTTAATTTTTATGTTTTTTAATTTTTAGAATTTTAAAAGGTTTTTCCTTTTTTTTATATGAATTGAAGGATCACTGAGAGCCAGGACTATCCTGTACATTTTTATATCTCCCATGTTTACTAACATTTACTTAATATTCATTAACATTAAGCTTTGATTCATATTTAATGTCTAATTTATTAAAATATGCTCACATTTACTAGTATGAGAAATGATTGAGTGGTTTTAGAGTTACAATCTTACCTCATGCTTAGAATTTACATTAACAATTTATATTCCTGTAGCCTAGTCAGTATTTCCACATAAGCATTTCAAAATACTCTACAAATACAAGGTAGGCTCATGAGATAAATTTATACCTACTCAGTAGTGAATATAGTGGGACATAGGTAGGGGTTTTTCCAAAGGGGCCATGTCACTCTATAGCCATAGAAAGCACTACTTAATCTTCATACATATTCAAGGTAAGTAACCTACTTTTTAAGCTTTCATTAATGACACTATATATCCGGGATTTCTGCCCTGGGAGGATAGCTGATGCCTTGAACCTGGTTTCAAGTTTTAGATTAAATTGAAGATCCACACAGCAGTGGTTAATTGGTACCCAAACCCACCTATGCTTGCAAGACATTTGCTTGGTGAAGACATTTCCACTTTTGAGTTGACTTTCCTAGAAAATGAGATCAAAATAAAAGGATAGTCTAACTAGACAGCTGCTGGCAGGTAGGCCAAAGGAAATCTGGAGGGAACTTTCAAGTAAAGCCCCAGTAAATGTATCAAATCTGCAAGTAAAGCAAGATTGCCTCAAGGCTGATAATCGGTGGTGGGGCTTGTTCATCAGAGCTCAAGTGAGTATTTCTGAGTAAAGATACACAACTTTTCATATAAGTCAATACTACTGCTGAAACAGTCACCCAGAACTAAATAACCAAAGAACGGTCTGTACCCCCTGGCTGGTACTTAAGGTCATATTCTGGTTTTGCAGCCACAGTTTACACAGGGACAGGCAACTCCATCCGTTATGATAAGAAGGAGCACAGAGGACAGGGGTAGAATCACAGGAACGTGTGGACTACTTGGAAACTTCCTCCATCTTTGCCTCCTCCTCCTCTTCCTGGTGTGTCTAACGAGTACATTGAACAATGCTAGAGCCAATAATAATATTTTTCAAAATTTGGATGTGTTGGAAAGTGTTCAGACCTGGGAGGCAGAAGATCAACGTTTGTGTCCTGGCTTTGTCACTTTTCAGTTTGACCTTCAGCAGTGGCTTCCTCTTTAGAATGAGCTCACCACTCGCTCCCTCCCAGGGTTGTGCTCAAATTATCAATCAATGAGGCGATGTATATGAAAGCTTCTTGAAATCTCATCTAGAACCATATATTTGTAATGCATAAACTGCTGTCTTACCCAATCATCGCGACATTTCAAACCATGACAGGTGTCAGGATTTGCTTTCATGAGAAGAATCAGTTCACTGAAATAAGCTTCTCTTGAATCAGTTTGACTCCTTTCTCACACTAGATATTACTGTGACTCAGAGGCTGATAACAGTGAACTATTTTAAAAAGCTTTAACCTTTGACAAATATTTTAAAGAAACTTTTATTCCCCCCCCCTCCCCGACACACACACACACACACACACACACACACTTTTTTTTGGTGCCTTTCCTTAATAGGTACCCTATTCTGTTTTTTAAAAAGTATTTGTTTACAGGATTCTCTCAAATAGATTCCTTTCAAGTATTTCAACAGTGACATAGTAGCAGCAGAAAAAGGATTCCCACCCCCCCAGTTAACTATTTAGTGCCATGAGTAGGAACTTAAAAAAAAAAGGGCAGTACAATATAAAACTTAAGCCAACTTTCAAAGATTCTGTTTTGATTTCATTGTATAATGAATACAAATTGATTGACCATCAGCTGAAATCGTACCTTAAAGTGCCAGTGGCGGTAGGAACAGTGTCACTACACGTGATAGGGGTTGTCCTTCGACTTGCTCAAGCCCAGAGCTTGTAATGACAACAAGCTGTGCTGATTATTGAAAGCTCTAGGTTTTATTTATTAGCGAAGACTCTGGAACAGGCTTACTGTGTTCCAGATAAAGCAATCGTGGTGTAAAAAAGCTGAGGCGTCTGTAGCAACAAAAATCCCCCAAGCCCTTGTTTTAAGTTTCTGAAGGGGAGAAATGATGCCTTTGAAACAGTGTAGCTACCATTTATTCTGGCTCTATGTAGTTGGTACTTCATACATTCCAGTGCAGTAGAGGAAGCATTTAACAGCTTACGCTCAGTAGATTCTCTACAATAAAAGAAGACCTTGTGTATTCCATTCATCCATGGAAGATGGAGTCTGGACCGTCCCACTGAATGCAATTGCCAAAGGGAACCAGTGGGAAAAGCTGGTTGTCTGCTCTGCCTCTGGGTGACAGAACAAATCATTCACATTTCTTCCT